CCTTCCCTTCCCTTCCCTTCCCTTCCCTTCCCTTCCCTTCCCTTCCCCCTGGAAAGGCTGTTCCATATTTTAATCCTATGAAATGCTCTCTCCCATAGCACAGCTGTAGAAATTAGGGTGCAGTCCATGCTTTAGTCAGTATGTTGTGTATACTCTATATATGCAAAAGGTCACTGGCTGCATTGATGGCACTGCTCTGAGGAGCTGAGATGCCATCATAAGCCCACCTAGAAATCTTAAGGAAGCAAGAAGGTTCAAAATCTGAAATGCAGAGCAGAACATGAGGAAGAAAACAAAACTGCCAGGAAGACTAATAATTTGATGCCATATTGTAAAGTGCTTCAGCTATGTTGCATTCCTGGTGCTCTGCTGACCTGGGCCCGGGGGATTGGATTCTGTATGATATCCATTAGCTAATTATCCGTGGTGTCCAGGCAGTGCAAATGAAATGGTGGAAAGCGTGTGCCATTTGAGCTTGCATTAGCCAGGGTCACATCCTCTGCCTCAGCAGTGTGCCAAGCACAGCTTTGGGAGGAAGAGTCTCAGAGTCAGAGGGCAGTCCCAGCTCCTGCTCCCAGCAGCAGGCTTGCTGCACGCTATTCCAGCAGGCAGAGGATAGAGCTAAGCCATTGTATATGCTGTAGAAAATATTCCCCAGAATCTGGAGGATGAGTTTTATCAGTTGCCTCATCCCAGTCAGAAGGCAGTTGGCTCATAAGAGCAGTAATTGTTTCTCTTATCTGTTTTGGAGGGAGTCAAGTTTTTTTCACCAGATTTGCATCTGTAAGGAGCATGCTGTTTAGAACACTTGGTGACCTTGCTGCGGTTGTTCATCTTCTTTCTTATTTAGGGAACCTACCAGCAGCTGCTTCTATACCCTATAATCGGCCTTGCTTTCTCCCATGGTTGCAGGGTGGTTCTACATAAAAATTTCAAAGCAACCACTAGAGGCAACTCAGAGGAGCTCATTTAAGTCAAATGGAGTGATTGAAAAAAACAGTAATTGCTGGGGGAAGCGGAGAAAGAGTGGAATTGTGCTGCTATATTAAGTATTTTTGACTCACAAGATGTATGCATTCTATGGCACTTACTCTTTTAAAGACCTCTCTTGTCCCTCATTTGCTGCTTTCTGTATACGTGTCTGTGAGGAGAAGTGCTGTTGATGAGATGTCTTTGCAGAAATAATAAATTACTTTGAAGTTTCCAAGGAAGGAGGGAGGGAATCCGGACTGTGCCACACGGAAGAAGGCAGTTCTGTACAGTGGGAAGAGAGGCTATGTAGTGGGTAGCCAGACTGTCATCATTGCTAGGCTTCCAAAAAAGGGCCTTGAGGGACAGACGTAATCCTCAGTCCAAATTATGAGAAATTCAGCAAAGATAATTGAGAAAAGAAATTCAGCAAGGGAATAGAAAGGACCCATCTAAAGGATCTGAGTATTTGAATGAACAAAACTGAATGAACAAAAGCAATAGAGATTATCTTTATTGCATAGCTCTCAGTGCCACACTTTGAGTCTTATGAAGAGGATCAGATATTATCACTGAAATTATATTTCATGATGGTAACAGCTGGGAGCAGAGATTGTTTAGAACAGATAAAAGACATGGTTTTGGCAAATAAGCTGAAAGTATCTGAAAAAGTGTTTGTAAAACTTAGTAGATGAAGAAAAAAGAAAGATTAATGAATGGAAGAATGTAAACAAAACAGGCAACAGCAGAAAGATGATTGCAGACAGGGAAGAAGAAGGACCAAGGATAGGACGGGGGAAAATGGAGGAATGAGAAGAAACAGCATGTTAAAACAGAAATCACAGGGGATGTTGCCGTAAAAGCAGGATGAGAGAGAGGAAGATTTATGTCTGCCAAAAAATCCAGGAGGTACAGTGAGCACTTGCTACAAGACATTACCAGGAACATATTGTCATTTGTCTGATAATCAGATCAGCATCTTTCTGAGTATAGGTGATGTTTTCTGCCTCTGCTTTCTCTAGCACATGGAGATTTGAAAAGTAATTTTAATGCTGCAATCATCCATCAGTAGTGAAATCTGATATCCTTCCCCTAGTGCCGTATGCCACAGTATCTTCATCGTGGGTCTTGCTTCATTTTACTACTGCTTCTGTTCTTTCTGTTTGGTAGTTCTGGTTCTTCTCTGCTTTCTAACATGAGATTTGTTCCTGTGAATCTTGTGCTTTATCTTCTTCATCATCTTTTTGATTTTTCTATTCCATGGATTCACACAGAACTTTTTGCCTTTCATGTGGAGACTAACAGAGAAAAAAATGGTTGTCAGTTTCAAAGAAGAAAAGTAAAAATCCCAGCTTTTACAAATCATCATAATTATCACTCACCTGTGAAGACCACAAAGTTAGACTTGGTTAATCTTAAATTAGATTTTATGCTGTGTTTATTATTTTTTTCTGGTTTCAAATACATTAGGATCTAAGTTTTACATTCCAAAATCTGAACAAAGGCTTTACTACTTCAGTGCGAAAAGAACCACAGTGCGAAGCAGTACATTTCTATGGCCAATATATAAGCAGACTACTGTGTTGTTATTATGACTGTCATGATCATCATGCAAAAGTCTAGAAAATGTACCAATTTAATCCAAAAGGTGTGATTGCAACAGAAAAAAAAAGCAACTTGATATAACTTCTGTACAAAAGTAAAGCTGATTTCATGAGTTTAGACAAAAGTTTTAGGGGATAAATAAAAAGCAGATAAGTCCTAAGATGCATGAGTAATTTTTCAGTTATGAAAATAAAGCAAGTGTCAATGAAGGCTGAATAATACTTAGTATTATTACTGAAAAAATCGATTTAAACAATCAAGTTTAAATATCACAAGGAAGGACAGTTCTTAAATCACATTAGATATTGTTTTTTGAAGAAAAAGATTCTACTTATTTAAATGCTGCCTAATAGGTTTTAACTTGCAGCATCCCTTTCACAGTGAAAGACACAAAATATCGCTTACATAACAGCCTCTAGGTGACACAGGCCATGAGCTTTCTGGATTTCAAATCTCTCCACTCTTCTGAGAATTCCTTTGGGAATGTCATCTGAAATTTTCATGCAGCAGTTAAAGGCCCCAGGAAACAAAGCTAAAAAGAGGAATAGCAATGTTAGAAACAACACATATATAAGAGGGATAAGTCATAGTTTGGCTGCACAGAATCACAGAGGGGTTGAAATTAGACGGCACCTTTGGAAGTCATCTGGTCCATTCCCCCTGCTCAAGCAGGGCCATCTGGTCCCTTTGTCCTGCTTGAGCTCTGCTCCCAGCCTCTGATAATGTGGTTAGCTTAATTAACTCCATTTTATGAGACAAGCAGCCATTCTGTGACCAAGCAAGTCATGTGTTCATGCCCCTTCCCTCATTATCAGGCCCTGGAGGTCCTGTGAAATGAGAGACAAACCAACCAGATTTCTCTTTCTGTTCCCTACCAGCTCCCAGCCTGCCATCATTCCTCCCCATATGCAGGACTTAGCATCTCCCCTTGTTGAACTCTGTGGGTTTCCTCTCTATTTCTAGGCCAGCAAAACCATGTGGTGCATCTGCTACTGCTCCCAGTTTGTTGTCATCTGCAAACATGCCACAGACACATTCTTTTCCATCATCCAGGTCTTTAATGGAGGTGTTGAACTCTACTGTCTCCCATGGTGACCCCTGGGGTTTGTGGCACCAATTACAACCCTTTGGACCTGGTCCTTCATTCAGTTCTCTGTCTGCCTCAATCTTTACTGATCTATCCCATACTTTGTCACCTTGTCTATGATATTACAAGAGACAGTAATCAGTCTTTCCTGAAGTCAAGGTACACAAAACCCATCTCTCTCCTCCAGACCAATAAGCTAGTCACATTATTGGAGATGGCTACCAGGTTGGTCAAGCACGATGTCCCCCCTTCATATAGCTTTGCTGACCACTCCTGATGACTATCTTGTCTTTCAGATCTTGGGAAATTCTTTCTCAGATAATTTTCTTCATCATCTTCCCAGCAACTGAAATGAGGCTGAGCAACCTGTAGTTCTCTGGATCTTCCTTCTTGCCTGTCTTGAAGATAAGGGTAATACTTACTCTCTTTCAATCTTCAGGATCCTCTTCCACTTGCCATGACTGTTCAAAGGTAACTGACAGTGGCCTCATCATGACACCAACCAGGTTCCTCAGGACTGGTTGTAATCCATCCTATTTGTCCTGTGCCCTTATATATATTCAGTTTTTATAAATGTTCTCTAGTTTGGTCCTTCTCCACTGACAATAAATCACCCTTGTTGCAAACATTCCCTCTGGTCCCAGGTACCTGGGATTCTTGTTAGTTTGCCTAGTTTGCATGGTAAAGAGTAAGACAAAAAAAGTGTTGAATGCCTCAGCCTTATCCATGTAATTTGGCACCAGTTGCTCTGTCCAGTTTAACAGTGGGTTTTCATATTCACTCCTCCTTCTTTTGTTATTGATATACTTGTGGAACATTTTGTCACACATCCTTTGACAGATTCAACTCCAGCTCATCTTTGTCTTTCCTAACCTCATTCCTGCATAATCAGACAACTCTATATTCCACTTGGGTCACCTGGGTCTGCTTTCTCCCCGTGTTCCACACATTGTTTTTAGGTTCTGGTGCAGTTAAAAGCTCTAATGGAATCCAGCCAGGCCTTCTGACACATTCCTTGGGTTTCTATTTGTACGGACAGACCTTCCTATGCTTGGAGGGGGTGACCCTTGAACATAAGCCAGCTGTGCTTGACCTCTCTTCTATCCAGGATCACATTCCATGGGATTCTTCCAAACTTCTGAAGAGGTAAATCAGTTCTTATTAAACTGTAAATCCGTTCTTATTAAATCCAGGGCCATGATCTTGCTTTTTGCCCTGCTCCCTTTTCCTAGAATCCCACGTTCTACCACCTTATGGACACTTTTGCCAGTGTTGCCTCTGATTTCATGCCCCTGACCAAGTCAGCTCTGTTTGCAAGTATCTTGTCTCCACCCGAGTGCTTTTCTGTGCCAATTTCTTGGTTACTTGTCATGGAAGATGCCATCAATGCACATCAAAGCTTGTGGATTGCTTCAGCACTGTTGTATTGCCCTTCCAGTAGATATCAACAAGGGTAAAGTCCCCCATGAAGACTAAGGCCTGTAAATTTGAGGATTTTCCCAGCTATTTGAAGTAAGGCCTCAGCTTCTTCTTCCTGGTCAGGAAGTCTATAGCAGACTCCCACACTACCACATGTCCCCTGTTGGTCTGCCCAGTAATCCTGACCTGTAAGCTCTCAGCCAGCTCATCCTCCATCCCCAGGCAGAGTCCATGCATTCCTGCTGCTCTCTTGCGCAGAGGCCAGCTCCCTGTCCTTGCCTTCCAGCCTGCCTTTCCTAAAAGCCCTAATTCCCCTCAGCTGCAGCACATCAGTGACGTGAGCCAGCCCTGAGCACATGTCCCTGAGCCCAGGGAGGCCCGAGCCCTGCACCTGCAGCCACACTGGATGCTCGTGTTTGCTCCCCATGCTCACTCGAGCTGAAGGACTATTCGGGCTGCTGCCAAGGGCTGGTTATCCTCACAGCTCACGCACTGAGAGACTGTCCTCACAGTTTCTCCCACCAGAGACTGGTGGTTTAAATAACAGTTTCCTTTACCCCTTCTTTTGCTTGCATATGTAAAGGCTTGTTACAGTAATGTAAAAGTAATTTTAAAAGATTTATTTTTACTTGTGGAAGATCACCAACATTAACAACACAGGAAGTGTCAGGAGTATAATTTAAAAGCTCTGCCTTTTTAGGTCAATTATTAGTACCCTTGCTGGGCTTTGTGTTTTGTTTTAACCCACGGGTTCCCATGGTCTCCAGAATGTGTCTCCGCTATGGAATTATCTCCTGCAGATTTTTTCCTGTTTGCTAATACCATCTTGAAAATAAAGTCACTGAACTTTGAAAAGCAGATAATAAATCTAGGTGGGTTTTTATTTTTTTAAGACGAATACTAACATTTTGGACTTGATTTTCCTCTGTGCTAGCAGAGAAATAGATCTTCTAGAAGCGATTTCCTCCACTAGCTCAAGGACAAGCAAAGCTATATTGCTCAGGGATTTATCTAGAATGAAGGTCTCAGGATTAAACCCATGCTTCAAAATGAGCACAGCAAGGACCCCTGGGTCCCAGACCTCAAACTAATCTGGGAAAAGCTGGGAGAGAGTCTTCTTCCTATTTGTTTTCATTCTTCTTCCTATCCATACTTCCCTAAGCAGTCTTTTAGCCTCGATTGCAAGAGTTATGAGCCAGAATAAAAGGACAGAGAATCAATTTCATCTTCTGTAAGCAGGAGATAAGTCTGTTCAAAAATTTTCTTGTAAGCAAGATGATTGTGTGCTCTTCTTACAAGAGTGCTTGCTGAGTGCTGGAATAACAGATGCTGGCACAGCTGTAGCAGTGAGCTCGAGCAGCCAGCAATGGAGCTGGAGCACTCACTCTGCCCACTGCTGCTTACAGAGGGATTTTGTACCCTTGTTGACAGGGCCTGGGCATTTCACAGTCAGAAGGGAGCTGGAAAGACAGAAGCTGGCTCAGCAATTGTCTCCTCAGCAACACAAACAGGAGGGCTATAAATAATCATTTAGTGCAGAAGGACTAATTAAGTGTTGAGTGCTACCTGTGTTATTTCCCAGTTGTCCTTTGTTTTTCTCTCTTCAACAGCATACTTGTTATACTTGTTGTGAAGCAAGTTAATTGATGTTCACAAATGGAAATTCAGCTCATTGAGCACCACTAAGTTTAAGTTTTTTTCTGGGTCCTCAAGATAGAGTTGGTAAAACTAAAATGTAAACTTTTGTCTTTGCTAGTCAGCTCCTGACAGAAGGATTCAGTCCGATAAGAACTTAAGGAAGGGTAATTATATTTTAAACTCTGTCTGATGTTTCCTGCTGTGCTTTTTGGAGAAGTCTACTACAGTACTTCTCTGAGGTCTAGTAAACTAAAATACTTGGCAAGACCAGTACTACCAGCTTCTGTGGAATGGCTGAACATTACAGGAGGTGTTAGGGAGAGCCAGCTGTGTCCCCTGAGCTATGCCTCAGCTGGTTTTGCTGATGCTTGGCTACTACCTCCTGCCCTCATCGTATTTTATGTACTTAAAGCCATCCCTTGCTTTGATACTCAGATCTGAGCTGTCAGTATTGCACTTTACAGGGCACTATATAGCACCATGTTAGCCATTTGTACACTTCATAACTGAAAATTACTAATATTGATGTACTTTTATAGCTTTGTAAAGAAAAATATACACAGACTCAACCAAGGAAAATAAAGCAAAACTCCTGATGCATCCAGATGGGGGCTTGTGTGTGTGTCTCACTGGCCACTTCTGACTGACTGCCTTTTTGCAAAAAACTTAACCAAAGGGAATTGCGTCCTTTAACAACTTGTTTATAACTGCACATTACTAAGGTGCCACTTACATGACCAGAGTTGCCATTTTAGAGCAAATTCAACCACCCTCTGCTCAGTCAGTCTTTGACCCGGAGCACTGGATGCCACTGACATCCAACCCATGTACAAAATCTGTGCCCTGCAGCAGGAGCACAGGGGCTGCATGTGAAAGTGGGTGATGCCAGCAGAAACCAGGCTGAAATTCTGCACAAAATACAAATGAGTGGTGCTAAAGAGGCAAAAGCATTTCTTATAGCAGAGGTATGTGACTAAGGAGGCTTTCTTGCTTTCACATGTATGTATTCCTTGAGGAATTCTGATGTGCACTGGTTTTTTGATGAAAAAGAAGCTGTCACAATTAATTAATTTTTTTTACATTTTTGTATGAAAGCACAGCTATAATATGGAAAATAGAAATTTATAATCTGTGAATTACAGATGAATGCAGAGCATGAGGGTCTTTCTGTCAGAGAACATGAAAATGCCACTGGCAACCTTCTAATGACAATCAGTTATGAGAACTGATACCTTTTTACATGAAAGTCAGTTTTAAAACTGATTTTTTTTCCTGTGTATGAAGTATGAGGGCAGTGAGCCAAGGAAATCCTGTAATTCCCCAGAGCCCAGGAGAATCAATGCTGCTCTTATGGAGCACTGAGCCATCCTGCAGCAGAACTTCATTCTAATCCTGCAAGTGGGAAGAAATTAGGAGGCAATCCTAAACAAATCCTAAAAAGCTAATAATTTCAGCCCAACCCAGGGTCAAGTGGTTTTTTGTGGTTTCAGCAATTAGATCAGGGTTATTAGTAGTTATTGATCTAAACAGTAGTTAAAAGGAAAGTACTGTGGTTTTGCACATGAATGTTGCGTGGCCTTTTTTGTGCCATTTTTCAGTCAATAGGATTTTTTCAGTGCTGCTGATTTAATTTGTCTCTATTGCTCAGTGACACAGTAAGAAATACACAGCAGCTTACTCAAAAATTATTTAGACCTGTTGTCTGACACTGAGACTCTTAAAGCTGAAGGAACTGCTGAAAGCTTAGTGGTGGATTAGACAGAAGGGAAGTGATATTATCTATTTCAGCAAGTGATGTTATCTATTTTTGTATTTCTTCCCTGGGAGCTCTCTCCAGGGAATGACCTGTTGTTTTCAAAGTTATTTAGCATATTCAGAAAAAGAAAAGAAAAAATAAAAGAAAACTGAAAAGAAAAAAAGAAAAGAAAAAATAAGAAAAAGGTATAAGTTGTCCCTGCACAGGACAGAATGGGTTGGAACTGAATGGTCTTTAAGGTCCCTTTGAAAGCAAGCCATTCTATCATTGAAGTGGAGTACTTGGGAATGGAGCACAGTGAAAACAAAGCCTCTCATAAAACAAGACTTCCATGAGTACTGTTCATTATATGTCTTTACATTTTAGTTGATCAGTATCAAATCTCTTTGACTGCCTAAACTTTCTTTTTCCATTTCTTCTCTGCTATCTGGCCAAACTTAGTCTATAGAAACTTGTCATACCCTTCTGCTCTACTTTTTTCATTGTCATTCTCAAATATGAGGGCAACATGCTAATCAGCCAGAGAAAGCTTGTTGTCTAGGGTTCAGGTAAAAATTACTAAAATGAGTTATTGGTGCTTGCTCAGTTTCTGGGGCCACAAAGCACTTTTCTGACCTTCTTCAATTTCAGGCTGATATTCCTAGATTTGCCAAGTCTTTTAGAAAAACTGTAATGCCTGATGAAGAGCCCTCCTGTGTAACACAGCGGGAGCTTGCCAGGCTCTTGTACTGCTCTCCTCTGCAGTTTCAGGCAGGTGGGACTGGGCAGAGCACAGGGAAGGGCACTGGTAAGGAGACACACGACAGTCAGTGATTCTGCCAGCCTCTTCTGTAGAGAACTTAACATGCAGGGCAGGTCTTTGCCTCATGAAGGAGGGCCAGATGTAGGAAAAAAAGAGGAGATGATGCCCCATGGAGTTAGATGATGAATGATGGAGCCATTGTGCCCCCAACTCCTGTGCTTGCTCTTAGCTACTGGTTTCATTTTGGTCTCCTTTGACTAAACATGATAAAGAAAAGCTGTGCTTTAAGTGATAACAGTAGGGAAGGCATTTTTCCTTCCTTTCTACATTTCCCTCCACTCCTAATCGAGATGACTTAGGCAGGACTTGTGCAGCTCTTTTCTGCACAAGTTTCACTCCAGCAGTTAGTGTTTTGACCAGGCCTTTGGTGGTCGCCCCTGAATCCTGTTGGGAGCCTGTCAGTACTGCTGGCAGATCACCTGGTTCACCTTTGTGAACTGGACTGCTTGAGTGAAAGGTCACGTTTTACTTGTTCCTTTATGTAACCAAGTAAACCAGGACAGTTCTGGAATTTACACAAACTAAGGGAGCCCAGCAAACATGGGTGATCTTATTAAGCAGGATGGGTTCCCCCAACACTTTGAAGAATGCTTCTCTTGCGTGGTGAGATCCATAAATCTGAGGCACTTTCTGTTTCAATGCTGAAATGGGAGACCTGCTGCTAATTGTGACTCAAGTTCACGCTGGATGGTTGCAGCTCTGCACACATTGCACAAGTTTGGCACACCTGTGCTGTTAGCAGCAAGCATTACTGTTTCCTAATGGAATTCTTTTGTGGTTACAAAGTAGGCTTTGTACATCTGAAAAGAAAACCCACACAACTTTGCATTGATAATTGTATTAACATTTTGCTTAGTCAGAACATGGTATGTATTGATATGCTCTGGTGTCAATACAGCTATTTCCACAAATGAGTTTCAGCACTTAGTCCTATGTTGTTGGCTTACAAACATAGAATCCAGGCTCTGCCCTTGGAGGGAGATTTACTGTCATATCACCTACACTTAATATTAACTACTGTGAGGCAGCTTATTTAGCACTCATTTCATAAAGATGCCAGAAAATGTTTCTCTCATTTAAAACAAACTTGAGGCTATTTTAAGAGTTCAGCATCTCAAAGAATGTCTTTTCATCTTAACCTAAAACAAGGCAATAACTATTTCGTTATGCAGAAGGCTCTAATCCTGGTTGACAGGTGAACAAAACAGGATGCTAGAATTCTTGGGAAATGCAGCCTAGACTGTAAAAACAAGGAGGTTGCTTGATAACTGGACTTGAGAGGGGAACTCAAATGCTGAAAAATGTTCCAATGCTTCTTACTATTCTGATATGGTAATACACACAGTTAAAATACAATTCTGAGACAGAGTTTAAAAAGAGATAGAAGGGGTTCTAAGCTATAACTATTTAAAATATTTATAGTTTAATATAACATATTATAAACAATAAGACATAAATCTAAAAAGAATACTATATAAAGAATAAATATAAATGAAGTTATGCAGTGATGCTTTTCCTGTTTCGCTATGGGGACTGCTGTTAATATGGACATTTTCAAAACTGGAAGGCTGACTGGAGATGGATATTTCCTGTAAATCAGGATTTTAGGATGGGCTATTGTCCATCAAATAATGATCAGTTTGCAAACTGTCTGTCTCCATACAACATCCTTGGTGCTTGGGTTAGAGAGCATCAAAGAAATGCAGGCTGAAAATTGGCATTTGGGTGCTATTACTGTATGAGTATTACCAAATTTCTCCCTTCATGTCTTCAAGATGAAATACATGTAGGAGCTTCCAGAAAAAACTTTTATCTTCTCAAATTAAAATTTAAACCACCTGCCTTTGGAATAAGTTTCATTTTCCAGCCTGCTGCATACTTCATGCAGTCCTGCCTCCTTCACTGCAGGTGTGGCAGTAAATCCCTGTCACTGAGTTGTGATCATGGAAGATTACCAGGATTTTTAAAGTAAAATTGCAAAAATTGAAATTATATTATGGGAAATGGGGGTAGAGGGGTAGAGTTTATGGAGGGGGAAATCCCCATCACACTCTACAGAATCTTGTTCTTGATCTTATTTCTGGCCTTGCATGGCTGGGCTATGTTTAAGCCTGTAGCTAGGTGTGATTTTGGACAACATATGGCTTTCCTGGCCTCTGTCAACAGCTGCCAATTCACATCCACAAGCAAAGGAAACTTCTGCAAGTTTACATGTACCAGCCCAGATCTTAACTTGTATGTCTACTGTCACCCTAAAATAAATGAATGTATAATGGCAAGCCTAAGAAGTTCAAGCCTAGGTAGGGTCAAGCCAAATCTGGTTCAGCTCAGGTAAGGTGTGCCTGTAACCCAGCTAGCCACCCTGAAATTCTGCTCATTTTTATTGTGGGTTCTGCCATTTAGGTATTGTAGTCAAGTATGGAGCGTGTCTGGACAAGGAAAGTTAAGTGGTAAAGACAATTCCCCTGTGTCAGGTGGTTCAGTGTAAAAGAACATATTCTAAGAGAACCTTTACTTTGACCTGTGCATGTGTCAGTTCCATTGTGCAAGAGCTTGATGGCTGGTCAGATCATATGTCGAAAACAAAAGCATTTGTAGAGCCTTCCTGTGCCAGTAGGTGCAGTGGCCATTTTAACAGGATAAAGTTCTAAGAGAGATTTTGTCCATGTGTTGCCTAAATCTTCAAGGAATTCCACACTTGCTACTCCTACTGAAGCCAGTAGAGCCTGAGAAAGGATCATCCTGAAGAATGTTCTCCAGAATCTGAGTTACCTTCCCTGTGAACAGAGTCTATTTTACAGTAAAAAACTGCAAGGAAAAACTAAGAATTCAAGCCCAGCATTGCCAAATTTGCTTTGAAAACTTTTAAAGTTGTTTAATTTTTTTTTAACTTTTAAATTTAAAGTTAAGCTTAATTTTTAAGTGTCATTATTAGATCTCCTTGCTGCACTGAACACAGAGCAAAGTTGCATGCAAAACTGCTTTTCTGCTGAGAGAAATCTGGTACTTGAAGTTTGTCATAAAAAGTAGTTCGAAACCTCTGCCACCTTGGGCAATTTCACTTTAAAGGAAAAATATTTTTGTTTTCTTTCAAGTGATTTCCTAAACACATTTCCTCTGGGAAGCTTGTAAAGGAGGAATTTACGCTTGAACTTGAGAGATCTCTTTAAACAAATACTGACATTTTACTAGGTGCTCCCTCATGAAAACACTGCTTTAAAGGTCTTACACCTTCAGCAGCTGAAATCTTCTTGATAATGTTTCCTATGACAAATAGCTCACATGGCTTTTCCTTGCTTAAGCCACTTCATAGAATTACAGCATGCTCACACCTGTTGTAGAAACATCGGGTCTGCAGAGGAAATTCTCAGGTGAAGTCCTGACTCCGCTGAAAGTGCCAAATGTTCTGTGCAGTTAAGAAGTTTGACTTTTTGAAGAAAAGCAGCACAGACCTTTAACCTATCACCTCTGGTCCTGTGCAGAGCTGCAAAAGCTCAAGCGGACACAGTTCCAGATAGGCACACTTCAGGTCTTTTTTTCTTTAAGAGATTAAAGTATAGAAATAGGCAAAGTACAGTTTTACTTACTCTCAGACGTCTGACTAACCGTGACTGCTAGAAGAACCAAAACAGTGACAAATTTCACATCCATCCCTCCTTGGAGCTGCAGGAGCACACCCACAGAGCAGGTAGTGAGCTGCAGGACTAACACCTGAGCCTTCCTGCCGGCTGCTGGGGATGAATGTGCCTTAAAGCCCCACCCTGAGCAGCAGCTTGGCTTCAGTTCTGTCCTGTGTGGCACTATGGACTCCTCTCACCTGGACACGTGTGGTTCAGTGTTTTGCCAGATGGGAAGACAGATTGTAATCCACACAGTTCCCTAAGATGGTACTGCCTTACAGCCACATCCTCACTGGGTCTTCAGCAACAGATTGCCAAGGGTAGGTGTACTTCAGAAACAAGTACTTGCAGGATTGAGGGTTAAGAAAAAACCCCTCTGCTATTTGGTGCCATCTGCATGGAAGCTACATGTGCAATGCTGTAGGCCAAACCTGCTGTAGGACAAACAGGTACAACCTCAAGGAGACCCCCCCAGCCCTGCCCTAGCTTTGCATTTGACCTAGGCATTTTCCGTCTATAAGGACCACGTTATTCCTGTCACACTTGACTTTCAGCACTGGTTCAAAGCTTCCAAACCCCTAAAAAGATTCCCATGTGGTTTAAGTCTGAGCTAAGCACTGTGGCTATAAGAGTAGGAAGCAGCTGCTGTACTCCACCACAGCCAGTGCAGTGCAGGCTGCCTGATTTGACCTTTTCAGGGCTGAATTAGAAAAATCAGTCTGGGAATTTTCTACACTATTCAATCAAGCTCATCTTTGCTCTGGCTCATTGCACCATTCTTATTATTCCTAAGTTTTCAGACCACAAGGTAGAAGAAATTGCTAACTTCAGGGACTTTAGTCTAGACTTACACTGTCCCAACACTGGTTTTGCAATTTCATCTAATAATAAATTAACAAAATGCAATCAACCTTTCTGGCTATCAGTGTTTTATTTCATAGCTGTTTGTTTCTGCTATTCGCTGTTATCTAACAGGATACGAGAACAGGGCAAATCTAGACTACTACTCTTTGGAATAAAAGTCTACTGTTAAAATGAAAGAGAGCAGAAGATAATCATTCATGTTGTTTAAAGTATGATTTCAGGGAAGTAATTTATGTTGAAATCAGCAAGTATTTATGTTGAAATCAGCAAGTTGATTCATTGTCACCATTTAGTTTATAAAAGGTAAACCACTCTGGCCAAAGCTAAGACAGATCACATCATCTTTATTAACCTGAACCTACATAAGGACAAGAATATTAGCAGCATTAATGTTCTTCAAAGTAGCATGAGGAGGAACAAGCTAGATTAAAATAAATACAGTGAGACAGGTGCTAGGGAGTAACATGTTAAATAAACAGCTTCAGTCAGTATTAGATTTTGTATTCTGGTGTCTGGTTGACGCTGCAAATCAGGATGCTTTGTTTCCTTGAAGATAATGAATTAGTTTGTTCTGGCATATGCTCCAATTGGGATGATATAGTTTTAAAGATCTGATACAGATTACAAGGGTCTTTCCACAGTGTATGGAGTACAGGGAGCTGTGGCAGTGATGGAGATGGAGGAAGAACTAGAGCATTCTGTGTTTCTTAAGACCTGTTTCTGTGTGACAAGTTCAAAGTGGTCCCCAGAGGTAACTCAGACATGTACACCTCCTATGTTCTCAGAACCATGGAATAAATACAGGTATCTAGGCATTATTTTCTCTGCTGCTGGCAACAAACTGAATCAAACTAATTTCTTTCAGCTTTAGCTCAAGTTTTATATCCTATGTTCCTCTCTCTTATGTACATGGTGTCATTTATAGGTGCAGAATAAAGTAAATGGCCATTTACTTCAACATAAAAGTGCAGCAAGGAAACTAGGATTGTATCAGACCCGGAAAATGCTTCCCACTTTATGGAGGCTATATAATTTGTCAATAAATTTAAATGCTAAACCTATTGGAACAGGACAAAATGTAAACTGAGGAAACAACACTGATTTATGAGACTGAGAAATTAAAAATAAAAACAAAGTCAGAGAACAATAGCAAATACTGTGCGATGGCTCCACACGAATGTGCAGGCAGTCATCCAATTTACAAAGGAAGTAGCCAGAAATTCTTTTCCAGGAATTGGACTGACAAGAGTTGACAGTGGCATTAGTTACAAATATAGCTGAAAGAAGGCAAAGAGTTTTATTGACATATTGAGTTGGATTGCATTCAAAGCTCAAATCAAAGCACTAACCTGCAGGCAGAAATTGCTGTAAATGAGAAGCTAGTCAGTCTTCTATCCTGAGAAACAAAGTAAACGTTTCTTAAAATCCTTATTGAAGATCTACCTTTTAATTGTGAAAGTAGAACAGCTAGCAAGGCTAAAACTGACAGATCTTTTAATCTGAGCCTTCAGTTTTTGAGCAGAGGTTAATGATTGCAACTTCTTCTACGTCAGTGTGCACCGTAATATAATGCCCTCAGTTATATAAACCTTTCTCCAATTACTCAAGCAGAGGCAAGAGTAAATGCTCCTTCCTTCACTTATTCCTTGCAGTCAATGTTCTTCTGCACAGGAGTGCTGATTGCTGAGGAAGATTAAGTCCTGCTAAAGCAGGATAATTCATGTTAAAACAACTTTGGATCTTTACTATTTCCAGCAAGACTTAATTTGATGAAGGCTTCTAACACATTTATAGATGCAATATGCTTATCACAGTACTTACTATTCTGTAAATGATCATAATAATCAATAAATTTTTTTCTAATTTGGCTTAAATAACAAATGGACAGATTTCACAATGATTTACAAATATACTTTGGACTTCCTAGCAATATCTCAATTGTTTATATGGGTATCAAATCCCAAAACTGTGGCATCCTCAGATGTCCCCTATTCCAGACTGCATAGGCTGGCCCTATGCCTACCATAAACCTCTGACTAAAATAGTTTGCATAACTCTCATTCAGCCTTCTCCATATGAGAAATTTTATCTGTGGGTAATTTATTTTTGGGAAAAAGTAAGAGTCCAGAAGAAAACTTTGAGCTATGAAAATTATTAGTGCTCAATATGCAAGTTCCAATATGCAAGCCAGATTCAGTCCTCTGCCCAAGAGGGAGGGTATGGATACATCCACATACCTGGACAGCTCTCCAGCGGCCATCTACCTTACACTCAGCAGCACTACATCTTATGGGTATATAAAACAGGGAAGAAACTTGAGGAGGGACTGGACCACTTGTTCCCTTTGCACCAGATTAATGTCCCCACAGATGATGTTCACACGCTCCTGATGTGCTCAGCCTCCCCAGGACTCTGGTGCACAGAGGTGCAGAACTTGCAGAGTTGCTGAAAGGCTTGTCTCTGTATGTGCTGTTGCCTGGCACTCAAGGCATGGACTTTCCATTCTCTGATTACTAAACTTTGACAGAATAGGATGAAAATTGAGTTCTTTGGAAGAAGATGCAGGTTTTTGTCCTGAAATGGCATTTTGGGCTTTACAGACCAAGTAGGCAAAGGTGCCAGCTCTGGCTGCAATGCTAAAATTTCAGAGAAATACCTAGTATTCCCATTGTCCATTTTTGCATACTGTTTATTATGGGTATTTTGAATTCCATCTGGAGCAGCTGACACACAAAATCCAGTACAGACAGACAGACATATATACACCCCCAGGCATTTTACCTGGAGGTGGCTTTATGGACTTAAGCTCTTCCTCTTGTGGCAGCAATTATCATCACCAATGCAAGCAGCACAGAGGAATCACTAGCAGACAGCAAAAGGGATTGTTCCTCACAGGGCAGTGCTTTGGAGGCCAAACCATAGGAGGAGGAGGAGAGAATACTGTGGCACTATGCTAACAGAAAAGAGAAGATGACTGGCATTCAGAAGAGAAGTGAAAATCTCTCTGAAGTGAGAACTATGAGAAAACTGAGGCTGATACAAGTTCTGTGATTCTTTCCCCTCTGAAGGAATGAAACAGGCTGAAGAGAAGATGGCCATGAAAATACTGCAGACTAGAAAGGCAGACACCTGGAAAACAATTACTGAAGAAACAAGGACTATCATTTGATAGAATACTGTATTAGCATCATGTTGCAGATGTTGAACCATTCTGGGAAGTCAGCCCTGAGCAGAGCCCCAGGATTCACCTCAAAAACATGCTTCAAGACTGCCAAAGAGTACATTATTTCTGGTGAACTGAAAATCTTGGCTTCCAATGGCATGTTCTCATCAATTGAGATAGTCAAATTACAACCTTTCCATACATCCAGTATGACATTTGAGGCTGACACACTATTTTGCAGCATTAGGAGAAGGATCTAATTTATTGAGGCAGTGAGCAAAAGGAGAAACTGAAGGCTCTTTCCTTCTCCATCTCTGTTTAAAAAAAATAATCATAATTTAGAGGACAACAAGGTAGATGCTGAAGAGAAAGAATGGCAGATGTTTTCCGTGGCTGATTGGTTCAGGAGAAAACCTGATGCTGAAATGCACAAGCAGGAAATAAGTAAACTGAGAATTGTGTTTTTGAATAGAGCAAAGACAGTAATTCTGCATGCTTCTTTATTATTTTAAAAATAAACCTATCTTCTTGACTACATAGCTGAATTGTTCTTGAAACCAGATAAAAATATGACATTTACATCAGTGTCCACATAGACTCTTTCCAACTCTACCTCCCAAGAGACTTTACTTTTTGTCATGACAAAGCTGAGTGCCAAAGATCAGGTACCCCTAAGTTTAGGATTTTTTTTTTGTCCTAGGCCTTAACTGACTTTTTGAATGAGGATTTTGATTCCAAAAGGCAGAAACCAAAATGACAGAAGATCTACTCACAAACATGTGAAAGCTCATGCCCTACACAGGCAGTATCTGACCACACAGGTTAGTGGTCTGGATCAGCAGGATGTTCTGTTTCTAAACTGCTTCTCCTGAGTCCTAAAATACTTGAAGTTGTCTTTCTGGACAAGATGGATCCTGAGTATCTATTCTGATCTCCCTATCTTTTAAAGCAACATTGTACACATAGGAGGATAACAAAGAGTGACAAATGTTCAAAAATGCATTAAGTCAAG